GAGAAAAATGTGAAAGGATCTTGGTGCTCTTTCCAAGTGCCCAGTTACATTAAGAGTAAAAGCAAGTACAAGCTTATAAGAAATAGAAAACAGAATTTTAGAAAAACACAGATCTTAGAAATCAAGGAGCATAAGGACAAAGATAGGATCAGTAGGAAACATATTTCCTTTGCAATTTATCTTTACAGACTGGGTTATAAAAGACAAAAGGTTTATCAACCACTTAAAAATAAGATGCAAAGCAGTTATTCAATTGAGGAGGGCTGCAATGAAAAATCACCTCTGCATGGTCCAAAACTAGAAGAGTATTTTACTTGAATATTGAGTAAACACAAAAGAAAGCAAAGCAAACTGATAATGGGTAGAAGGATACAAATCCGGTAGTTGCCACAACTGAGAGAGAAGCAAAGTTCAGTTTGTAGGAGAGAGATGAAAGACATGCCAAGTAATCTGCCAGAAGCACAGTTGGAAATTGGGAATGATTTAGGTTATGCAGTGGTGTTTCCATGTGACTGACGAACACTAAAGCCAGTGCTTCTAATCTGAGAAAAAAATTGATTAAATAAATCATCACTACAGCTTCACTACTTTGACTTCTACTAATGCAAACCTTTAAAGCATATTTCAGTGGAAAGAATAACTAAAGGTATTCAAGATAAACAATAAATCTGAATTAACAGGTAAACCTGCTTCAAGTTTCAACTCTGACAGATTGATGCATTAGCTTTCTTTGCTGAAGTAACTGATTTTTCCAGATTAAAAAAAAAAAGATCTATTTCAATCATCAACTTCAGTAAAGCACAGGGCATCAAACGGTAAATTATTAAACCAGAGAAGAAAGTGATTAAGTAGAGGAACTGTGGGCAAGAAATATGCTCAACAGAACCCAAGAACTTAAGAGTATGAAGGGGAAAGAATGGGACTAGAAGAAAGTGCAAGTAAGATGGGCAAGCCATATTTGCACAGCACATGTTGCCCTAACAGTTATGCTCTCCCAATACCAGCACATACTGGTAATACCCACCACCAAACAAGCAGATAAGGCTGGAAGCATCCTTCTTGCACATGCACATTTCGGAGCATTTTAAGCTGCTGGTCTAAATTATAGCTGCAAGATGTGCTCCAAAACTAGAAGGCAGTTAAGGAGCCCGGACCAAAGTAAGTTAAAAGTTACTGAAAGGCGACTGGAAAAATTAATCCTAAAACCAGTTCTCACTGAATAAACAGAAGAGTATCAGAAGGAAAAAGCAGTCTGCAACTGGCTGAGGGGGGAAAAAAAAAAACAAAACACCAAAAGAATATTCACACAATTTCCCTGTGCACAAGAAAGCAAAGAGAGACAATAGAAGAAAAGAAAGAAGTCAGTATTCAGTGTTCTCAATTGGCTAATTTTTATTAGGCTGTAAATGAAAACAATGGCATTACACAAAATAAAATGGGCTGTAGTCCAAGGCGGCTAGAGAATCTCCTGCTTAACAAAAGCTGAAAGTAGATTTAAAGGAGATGGTCTTCAAACATACAGAAGGTAATGTCAAATTCTCTACCTCCTCTCTGGAAAGGTTGGTAATGAACTTTAAGTTACAGCAAGAGAGATTTGGAAAGACCATTAGGAAGTCATGCATTTCTACAGATACCAGAGTGAGACCTTTCAGCTATTTTTTAATATCAGCAACACAGAGCTTTGCACTAGCATGGCACTTAAGTCTATTCGCAGGCCATCTATATCCACAGAAATCAGCTTGAAGTAGAGAAGCCTTTGAGCATAAGCTGAAGTGGCACCTGAAGTACAGCTATGACCAACTGAAGTGGCCTCAGACTCTTATTTATCATCTGCAAAACCAAAGTATGCACTTTTGCAAATTACTTGGGCGAGAGAAAACAAAAGAAAACCAAACCCACAATTGCACACACTAACATGTGTGCAGTGGTTACAGTTTCTCATTTTACTGGTTACTATCTCAATTTAATAAAGATTTCATGAACTGAATTATAGCCCTGTTTGCAGCCAACACAATGCTGGACTGAGCAGAGGACAGGAGTGGAGACAGCCCTCTATCTATGGATGACAGCCAGCTAAAGCTTGATTTTTAAGAGAACAGAAATTGTGACTCTGGCTGCAGTGTTTGGGAAGCTCAAAAGCATGGCCAAAGTGCAAGATCAGCAGACAGCCTGCAGAAATAACCATACATAGATTAGAGTGATGCACAAAGCCCACCAGCTCCCCACTGCATAGTCAAAACAAAACCTCAGCTCCCACTGAACATGCCCAGCCTTCAGGACCGAGAAGAAAGTCTCAAGAAAAAGGTCTATGTAGGAGCAAACACCTCCCTGTGTCCACAAAAAGGCTGGAACAGCACTCAAATGCTCTCCCACCCCCAGGCCTGAGTCCAAGCCCTGCTGCTCCAGCACTGACCCATACACTAGCAGGACGTTCTGGGAGTGGCAAGAGCTGAATGCCTTAGGCCAAGAATTAGAGATCAAGCCAATAAAGGGAACCTTGTGGTCGGTGTTTACTACAGGCTGCCCGATCAAGGGGAGCCTATTGACAAAGCCTTCTTACTCCAGCTACAGGAGGGATTGCGCTCACAGGCTCTCGTTCTGCTGGGGGACTTCAACCACCCTGACATCTGCTGGAAAAGTAGCACAGCGAGCTGCAGGCAATCCAGGAGACTCCTGGAGTGCATTGAGGATAACTTCTTAGGCCAGGTAATAGACAGCCCTACCAGAGGAGATGTGTTACTGGACCTGGTGGTCACCAATGCAAGTGAGCTAATCACAGACATTAAGATTGGAGGCAGCCTGGGCTGCAGTGATCATACACTGGTGGAGTTCACAGTCCTGAGGGATATGGGACAGGCAAAGAGTAAAGTCAGGACCCTGAATTTTAGGAAAGCAAAATTCCACAGGCAAAGAGTAAAGTCAGGACCCTGAATTTTAGGAAAGCAAACTTCCAGCTGTTCAAGGAGTTAGTCAATGGGACTCCCTGGGAAATTGCACTCAGGGACAAGGGAGCAGAACAGAGAACAGAAACAGACCTTTAAGGACGCTTTCCATAGAGCACAAGAACTCTCGATCCCCATGTGTAAGAAATCAGGAAAGCAAGGCAAGAGACCAGCATGGCTGAGTCATGACCTGCTAGTCAAACTAAAGAGCAAAGAAGGAAATGGAATGCACATGCAGTGGAAGCAGGGACAGGCATCCTGGGAAGAGTATAGGGATATTGCCTGGTGGTGTAGGGATGGGGTCAGGAAGACTAAGGCACAACTGGAGCTGAACTTGGCAAGGGACACAAAGATTAGTAAGAAGGGCTTCTGTAGGTATGTCAGCCAGAAAAGGAAGGACAAAGAAAGTGTACCTCCCTAATGAGCAAGACTGGCAAACTGGTAACAACAGACGAGGAGAAGGCTGAGATACTCAACAACTTTTTTGCCTCAGTCTTCAGTGGCAATCCCTCTTTCCACACCTCTCAAGTGGATGGACATCAAGGCAGGGACTGGGAGAGCAAAGACCCTCCCACTGTAAGAGAAGAACTGGTTCGAGACTACCTGAGGAACCTGAACATACGTAAGTCTATGGGACCTGACCAGATGCATCACAGAGTCCCGAGGGAACTGGCTGATGTAGTTGCCAAGCCACTCTCCGTGATATTTGAAAAGTCATGGCAGTCAGGTGAAGTCCCCGGTGACTGGAAAAAGGGAAACATTGCACCCATTTTTAAAAGGGGTAGAAAGGAGGACCCTGGGAACTACCGACTTGTCAGCCTCCCTTCTGTGCCTGGGAATATCATGGAACAGATCATCCTAGAAGCTATGTTAAGGCACATGGAGGACAGGGAGGTGATTCGAGACAGCCAGCACGGCCTCACCAAAGGCAAGACTTGCCTGACCAACCTAGTGGCCTTCTATGACGGAGTGACTACATCAATGGACATGGGAAAAGCTACTGATGTCATCTATCTGGACCTCTGTAAGGCCTTTGACATGATCCCCCACAACATCCTTCTCTCTAAATTGGAGAGATATGGATTTGATGGGTGGACTATTTGGTGGATAAGGAACTGGCTGATGGGCACATCCGGAGAGTAGTGGTCAGTGGCTCAATGTCCAGATGGAGATCAGTGACAAGTGGTGTCCCTCAGGGGTCTGTATTGGGACCAGTACTGTTTAACATCTTCATCAATGACACAGAGGGATCGAGTGCACCCTCAGCAAGTTTGCAGATGACACCAAGCTGAGTGGTGCGGTCGACATGCCAGAGGGATGGGATGCCATCCAGAGG